CCACCAATCCTACCTAAAGTTTTCAAAGCAAGTTCCAACCAACATTGACCACCAGAGGTCAGCACACCCTCATGGCTCCATCTGACACACAAAACCATTGTTTATTGCTTTGGTAATACACAATAGTAATAGTAATATACTTTATTGTCATTGTACAATTAAGATGCAATCATTTCGGCGATCTACAACAATATTCATATACACTCACACAACCATTCACAACTATCTCATAACTCAAGGTTCACATAGCAACTTAAAACCACTGTCACTCAAATTCCAATTTCATACAGCATTTAAGGCAGTAATAGCTCTCGAATAAAAACTATTTTTTAATCTGTTTGTCCTTGTTTTAATTGTCCTATATCTTCTGCCCGAAGGCAGCAGTTCAAACAGGGAATGTCCAGGGTGTGACAAATCCTGCAGAATGTTCTTTGCTTTTTTCAAACATCGAGAACTATACAATTCCTCCAGGAATGGGAGGGGGCAGCCAATGATCTTCTGGGCTGTGATGATAACTCTCTGGAGTGCTTTCCTATCCACAGCCGTACAACTGGCAAACCAGGCACAGACACAGTATGTTAAAATGCTCTCTATTGAGCAGCGATAGAAGGACATCAATGTTTTCTCACTCAAATTATTTTTCTTTAAAAGTCTGAGAAAAAAGAGCCTCTGCTGGGCCTTCTTCACCAGAGCCATGGTGTTAGCGCTCCAGGTCAAGTTTTGCTCAAAAGTCACTTCCAAAAACTTAAAAGTAGCCACCCTCTCCACACGTTCTCCTCCAATGACCAGTGGCTGAATGTCCATTTTATTCCTCCAGACTCATCATTCCCAGAGATGAGCCCCACCACAGTGGTGTCATCAGCAAACTTGATGATGGTGTTACTGGGGTGGTTGGAGATACAGTCCTGCGTGTAGAGGGTATAGAGCAGGGGGCTCAACACACAGCCTTGTGGAGAACCAGTATTAAGGATAAGGGCTGTGGACATGTATGTGAATAGATGGCTTTTTGCATTAAATATCTCAGTTAATGAGACACACAGCATACATTTCACAAGATACTGAAGAGAGGTGGGGGAGGTGATGTGAACTTTTAGGGCCCAGCTGGTGACTAACCAGAAAAGAGATCTTAGGGTTACAGTGACTAAGTCAGTGAAAATGTCAGCTCCGCGTGAGTCAGCAGCAGTGGGGAAAGCTCTAATTTCACGCTAGGGATTGCTAGGAAAATGCATCAGCTGGCCTTATCCCGCTCTTGTATAGACCTATGGCATTTCTGCCATTTGGAACACTGCATACAAACGTCTGGTCACCGTTTTCCGCAGGAAGTGGAGGAGGGCTATTGTTGCATGCCCTGATTGCAGGCTAATTCAAAGGCATCTGTGTGGTTACTGCAGGAAAACAGAATGCTGGAATAAGTAGACTTTTGGTGTGATGCAGCCAAGCTCTTGTGTTCTGAAGGATAGCAAGGCTTGTGCACCGTTGAATAGCTCAGAAAATAAGGAACGTCACATCACGTCTGTGCAGAGAAACCCAACAGGCGAGATGGACCAATGAACATAAGAAGAGCCCTGATGGATCAGACCAGTGGTCCACCTAGCCCAGCATCCTGTCTCACAGTGGCCAACCATTTCCTCCAGTGGTCCAAAAACAGGGCATAGAGGGTTTCCTTGGTGTGACAGCTGTCTATGTTCTTGTTCAGGACAAAAATTTTACCCTCTTGGCTTTTTGCCAGAGTGGAGGGTTCCCAAACAAAATAGAATAAGATGTGCCTTGCTGGATCAGACCATTGGTCCATCTAGTCCCAGCATCCTGTATCACACAGCGGCCAATATGTTGCTCTGGAGGGCCAACAAACAGGGCAGAGAGGCCAAAGCCTGCCCCTGATATTGCCTACTTTCTCTGGTATGCAAAGGCTTCCTTACATCACCCATGACTAGTAGCCACAGATGGGACTTCTCTGCCATGAGTCTCTCTAATCCATTTTTAAAACCATCTATGCTCATGGCCATCACTACTTTCACAATTTAATCCCTCGCAGATTAACCAAGAAGTGTTTCCTTTTGTTCCTCCTAATTTATTGTCCATGAACTTCATGGCATGCACCAAATTCTAGCATTATGAGTGAGGGAGGAAAGGTTTTTCTCTATCCACTTTCCCCACTTAGTGCATAATTGTATAAAGCTTTATCGTTTCCCCTCTCCCCAGGCATCTTTTTTTCTAAACTGAAACATCCCCAAACCCTTTTGCCTGTCTAATTGGGAAGGTGCTCCAATCAGCGTTCCCTCTAAGATGAGTTAGTGTGAGCTAGCTCACAGTTTTTTTAGCCTCTGGCTCACACACTTTTTGTCTTAGCTCAGGAAGGATAGCTTCACAGCAAACTAATTTATGCAGTAGCCAAATCAGTTGCTCACAACTTTAATGCCAGTAGCTTACAAAGCAGAATTTATGCTCACAAGACTCCACAGCTTAGAGGGAGCATTGGCTCCAATTAAGCTTCCCGGCTGCCCTCTTCTGCACTTAGTAATTTTGACCTGTATGTGATTACACAACAATCAAAAGCCATCTGTGTGGGCTGCTTAGATAAATTCCAAACTCAGACAGTATGGCTGCAATCTGAGACATGCTTAACCTGGGAGTAAGTCCTTTGCATACAGTGTGATTTGCTTTTGAGTAGACCTGTTAAGGATTGCTCCTTCAGTAAGCATTCTGAAGCAGATCTTTCCACTCAGGATCTTACTCTGGTCTACTCAATGGGGCCTACTCCCAAGAAAGCGTTCTTAGGGTTGTGCTGTAAATCCAGCATGTCTGAATGAATGTCCCATGACGTGGTGATAGTTTTAAAAAGCATTTTAACATTACAGCCTCCTATCCTTGAAATAATGCATATGAACACACCTTTTCAGTACAAAAGGAATAGTTTCAGGAACAACCCCAACCCCATAGCAATCAAGATTTTAATGGCCTGAATTTGCCATCTGGGCCTGCTGCCAGACTGAAGGCTTCCCAAACCAGATTGAATCCCACCTGGTGAATCCTTGCACATGAATGTGAATGCACACATCCTGCATCTGGAACTGAATAGGTCATGTGCTTAATGAGCAGGTTGCTGGATTCCAGGCCACCATTAAGTTTAATTTGCTGCTTTTTGGGAAGAATGTGGGAAGGAAATCTACACCTGCTCAGATACTCAAAGATGACACACCGTGATTATCTGTTCTCTCCCGCTCTCCCCAACAGTGTGCGGACGTTCTGTTCAACATGCTGACTTACAACAATGAGACGCTGCTTAGATAATTCCAATCCGGGACATCAAAAACCTGGTTTCATACAACTCAGTCTTGAATCAGAACCTTAACATGCTTTGGTTCTGTAGGACCCTCCCTAATTATGAGTTGTTTCATTCCATTCTGCCTACCAGGTAAAATTTGGCTTTTAAAAAAATAAATAAATTGGGGCTGCAAGTTAAACAGCCATGGACTGAAGGCTGGTGAAATGTGGTGTAACTGCAATTCCAAAGAAACTGGTGGTGCAATCCTAAACGGAGTTACACCCTTATTAAATCCATGGAGATGAATGAGCTTCAGTAGGTGTGTTTCTGTTTAGGATTGTTAATGTGAAATACGAAGTAGGAAGCCCTTGACTTAAAGCTCTCAGGGGGACAGCCATTTTCTCTCAGCCTCACAAGCCTCCCTCTGCAAGTACGGAAGATGGGGACAATAATGTTCTACCCAAGAGGGTTGTTGTAAAATTATTATAATATAGTGTATCTGCAGTGCTCTGAAAAAAACACAGTACAAATACCATATATGTGCTAAACATTTCGTAAGCCCTAGCTAAACACCTAGGAGATCAACTTTTATTTGGGACCAACACTCCCTCTAAGCCAGGGGTGGCCAAACTTGCTTAACATAACAGCCACATAGAATGAACGTCAGATATTTGAGAGCCGCAAGACATGAATAAATATCACACACACGTTTTTATTGAAAAACATGCAAATTTGCTTTTTATTAACATTAAATTAGGCTGTGTGAAAGAGCTGCGTGCGGCTCCCGAGCTGCAGTTTGGCCACCCCTGCTCTAAGCCGTGGAGTCTTGTGAGGAAAAATTCTACTTTCTGAGCTACTGGCATTAAAGTTGTGAGCGAGTGATTTCGCTACTGCATAGGTTAGTTTGCTCTGAAGCCATCCTTCCTGAGCTAAGACAAAAATGTGTGAACTGGAGGCTAAAAAACTGTGAGCTAGCTCACACTAACTCAGCTTAGAGGGAACACGGTTTGGGACTATACTACTGGTAAAAAAAAAACCTGAATGCAAAAATATATTCCTCCAAGTAGAAAACTAGCACATGGGTTTTGGTGTCAGGGACTCTAATCTGGGAGAACTGGGTTTGATTCCCCACACCTCCACATGCAGCTGTTGTGTGACATTGGGTCAGTTACAAGTTCTCTCAGAGCTGTTCTCTCAAGGGCAGTTCTGGGGAGAGCTCTCTCAGCCCCCCACCTACCTCACAGGGTGTCTGTTGTGGGGAGAGGAAGGGAAAGGAGTTGTAAGCCACTCTGACACTCAGAGTGAAGGGAGGGGTATAAAACCAATCTCCTCTTCTTCTTCACCATCTTGACCAGCTACCTTTTTGGGTTCAGGCAGGGAAAATATTTTGTCCCATTCTGGAATATGATATGAGCAGCGCCCCCTCCACCTGAAGCAGCACACCCTAGTCACGGCCTAATCACACCCACCACAACTCCTCAAACACCACTGGCTTCTTCTGTCCTCCTGGAAAGCTCCTCCAGCAACCGCCGCCGCTTTCCCAGCCAGGAGGCGCCAAGAGAGCCATGGGCGTGGCCGAATGTTTTCCTCCCGCCGACGTCTTGCGTAGCTACACCTGTGCAGGGGCGGGGAAAGGGCAGCGACGGGCAGCTCGGGAAGCCAATCGGGAGCGGCCGCCTTCTCACCTGCGCCCTGCGCTCTGCGCTCTCGGGGTGGCTCAGTTGTACCAAGGAGACCCGACGGGACAGGAGATGGCGGAGACTTGGTGCTGGCTCTGGGTGTTGTTCTGCGTCGCATCCTGTGAGTTGGGAATGAGGCCGGGGGCGGGGTATAGAAACAATGGCATGAGGAGAAGAAAAACTGTAAAGGGGGGGGGGGGATAGAAAAGAAGGAAAAATATGAAGGGGGAGAAGAAGAGAAGGGAGGCAACGAGAAAAATAGAAAAAAGGGGGGTCGCAAACAGAAATCGAGACGATCCTGAAAGCAGGAGTGGTAAACGAATGCAGAAGGGGTTACGGGAAAGAGGGGGGGGTTTAAAAAGTAGGAAGGGGGGGGGAGGAGAGGGCAGAAGCCACCATTGCCCTAGACGGGAAGAAGGTCTTTGGAGGGGGAGGGGTGCAAAGGAGCTTCCCTGTGGAGCGCACTAGGGGTATGTGTGAGAAAGGGGAATAGGTGGTCGGTGGTGTATCTTTCGGGGGGGCCTTCCTCCTCTAGGGTGTGTTGGGGGTCACTTACCAGGCCAGCGGTTTACTTTTCTTGTCCGACAATCTTTAACTCAGTGCAGTATATGAAAGCCAAGCAAATACTGCACTTCTTAACTAACAGCAGAGCAAGTGATTGAAAGTGGAAATGGTTGAAGTGCCTGCAGAAGCTGCCCCCTGGCGCAGTCGCCAACATCTTGTTTTTTCCAAACAATGTGAGAGAACGTTCCCCAATTGTATGTTATAAAGAGCAAGAGTCTAGTAGCATCGTAAAGACTAACAAAATTTGAAGAAGTGAGCGGTGACTCGCAGAAGCTCATACCCTCTCCCACAAATTTTGTTAGTCTTTAAGGTGCCACAAGCTCATACCCTCTCCCACAAATTTTGTTAGTCTTTAAGGTGCCACTGGATTCTTGCTCTTTTCTACTGCTACAAACAGACGAACATGGCTACAGATCTTGATCTCCGTATAAGAACAAAGTTGGAGTCCAATCGCACCTTAAAGACTAAAGGTGCCACTGGATTCAAATTTTGTTCTGCTGCCTCAGACCAGCATGGCTACCCACCTGAATGTATGGTATAAGTTAACCGAGAGCTATCAGCTCTTCATTTTGGCTTTAGTACATTCTCTTGTTTGTGAGAGTTTTGGGCAAACCCGTACAGGCTTTCTGAAGGGAAAACCAAACGTTTCAAGTATGCTTCTGTTGTCTGCATCTCTCTGCTTGTCAAGCTGTTGTCTAAAATGTTTTCTTTTTTTCAACTTATCAAAGCAGTTTCTGTTTGATGTCAGCTTACTAGAGCTGCTTATTGACCCAGTTGTCCAGTACTTTGACTTCAGATAAGCAGAGAGTTTACACAGCATTGCTATGTGGATTCATAGAACTAGAAAGGTAGTTTGAAAAGGACTTTCATTTCTAGGTTTATAGATGTCCTGCAATGACTCCAGTGGAAAAGAGTGATTTTTTCTTAAACTGTTTCCTTGTTGAAAACTTGCTCAGTACACTGACTCTGCTGGTTTGTTTTAATAGAAATCTCCGTTTCCTTACATGAAGTCTTTCCCAATGTGGGGTTAGCTAGTATTTGCCAATTCTCAAAGTTAATGTGTTGGATTTTGAAGCTGTTTGAGAGAAGATAGCCTTTTTAGTCTTGGCTTCCAGTTCTGCACAAACAGGCCACTTCTCTTAAGCAACTGCTAACTTCACAACCTGGAGTTGCAGGTCTAGGTTACTTATATATAAAGTGTACATATATAAAACTTTTCTTAGAACTTAATCAGATGTTGGCGATTTTTCCAGAGTATTTTTTTAAAAAATTTTTTGGACACGCTGCAAGCTAGATTTGGCAGTTGTTGTTCTCATGAGCCCGAAACCTGTGCTGCTTTTGCCTCTAGATAGTGGAGAAAGGGTTTTTCAGAGGGCAGTGGATAAACCAAAGGCAAGCAGGATCGTGTTTCTGTACCCTTTTAAGCCACACCTCGGGATTACATGAATGAGAGCTGGCAGACTGCCCCATACCTCGATCTATTGATGCCAAGCTGTCCAAACAGGTCTGCATTGGATGAGGATTCTAGAAGTCTAGTAAATAATGTTTTTGTTCTTAGGACGTGATACCCATTATCTGCAGGCTTAGAGGTCTCTTATCTGCCTTAGTGGTTCTGTGCAGAGAGGGGCAGTTCCTGAGGAGCATGGGAGGGGCAAGCAGAGACAGTATTGTTATGGTCCTATAAACTCTGGCTACATGGCCCAGACTGGCTCCAATATTTTGGGGGCTTATCAGGCAAGGAAACCCTAGTCCTTACTTCTCAGTCCAGACAAGACAAGATAAAGAGGGCAAACTTTCCTGTCATCTTAAATGGTCATTTTTACATATATTTTTTTAATCCCACCTTCTCTTCAAGAAGTCCAGGGCAGCGTATGTGGTTTTCACCTTCTCCGTTTTATCTTCATAATAGCCCTGTGAGAGTGAGAGAGTATGATTTGCTGAAGGGCATCTGCTAAGCTTCATAGTTGTGCAGGGCATGGAACTAGAGTCTAATTTCGGTGGCAAGGTGCCTACTGATGTGTTTCCGGGTTCCTGCTTGCATGCCTCCCAGTCCCAGCCCATTTCCTCCCATGCTCCTTCCTTATCTCCTTTCACATTTCCTCTTCTGTCACTCTTCCCTTCGTCATCTTCCCTTTGGCTGGTTGTCTCCCAAAGTAGCAGGAAAGGCACAAAACAATGCAGCTGGCAGGCGTGTAATAAATAAATGGAAAGGCACACGGGCCTCACCTGCAGGTTTATAAACTGCTCTCAGACTTGCCAAGCTGGGGAAGAAATACAAAGGAAGGTGGTGGTTTGGCCTGACAGTGTTAGAATGGTGGTTAGTGGGCATTTGGGCCCAGTAGGAGCCAGACAGACCTTTCTAGGTATGGGATATGATGGATAAAAATACACGTCATAGGTATGATCTGAATCTTCACCCCAACTCTGTAAAGTAGGTTAGTCCCATTTCTCTTCCTCCCTCAATGAATAGCAGTAGCCTCTATGGGGTGGTTCTTAAGTTCCTGTAATGTCAGGGCTTTGGCACTCCTAAGAACATAAGAGAAGCCAATGTTGGATCAGGCGAATGGCCCATTCAGTCCAGCACTCTGTCACATAGTGGCCAAAAATACCAGGTGCCATCAGGAGGTCCAGCACTGGGGCCAGGACACTTGAAGTCCTCCCACTGTTGCCCACCCCCCCAAGCACCAAGAATACAGAGCATCACTTGCCCCAGACTGAGAGTTCCCATCTATACCTTGTGGCTAATAGCCACCGATGGACTTCTGCTCCATATGCTTATCTAATTCCCTCTTGAAGCCGTCCATGCTTGTAGCCGCCACCACCTCCTGTGGCAGTGAATTCCATGTGTTAATTATTCTTTGGGCAAATAAGCGCTTCCTTTGATCTGTTCTAACTCGACCGTTCAGCAATTTTATTGAATGCCCACGAGTTCTTGTATTGTGAGAAAGGGAGAAAAGTACTTATTTCTCTACCTGCTCTATCCCATGCATAATCTTATAAACCTCGATCATGTCACCCGTCCTGATGACAGAGAAACTTCCAGGAACACAGCAGCAGCTCCTGACTCCAGTATTTCCCAGCATCCAATATATGCTAAATTCAGAATTACAGTAAATGCTTCTACACACTGATCTAGTATGCTGGATCCCTCCATCCTGTGTCTGTGGACCATCTTAAAATGACCTACAGGTTCACTACCATTTTGTGTCGAATGCCTCTTCTGAATTCCCCTGCTCTTTCAAGGCTTTAGGCAAAATACTTCCTTTTCAAACAAACAAAAAGGGGTTAAGAGGACAAAAAGGAGGCTTCTTTTCAAACAGGATCTTCTGGAAATACTACTTGAATATTCTGAACTGGTTTCCCTGGAATTCATTCATCCCTTTGGCCACACCCTTGGAATAGTGAGTTAACAATGTTGTCCTGGAAGTTCTTGCCCTTTGTTTGGGGGAGGAAGAGAGGCTGAACCTGTCTGCCTTAGTGGCGAGCTGTATGTGGAGGAATGTTCCAAAATGCAGTTCTCCATCTACATTCTGAAGTGGCACAGTGCAGTTTGTCACTGTGTATCCTGGCAATGAATCAGCCCAGTTTCTGGAAGGTGCTCTGGAAGCTTGGCAACTGTGGGTGGCAGGTACCAACTCCAAGTTTTTGAAAGAGGAGAGAGCACAATCCATCCCCTTCCTCTGTGCTGGAGAGTCCCTAGTGAACTGAGAGAGCTCCCTTTTCGTGTTCGCTCCCTGGGCATAAGAGGGGTTCCTCTAGTCTGCCTACAGACCCACTGGAGTACCTTAGGTGGTGGTGGAAAGTGTCTGTCAAGTCACAGCCGTCTTATGGTGGTGACCCCTGAGGGTTTTCAAGGCAAGAGACATTCAGAGCTGGTTTACCATTGCTTCCCTCTGCATAGCGTCGCTGGACTTTTCTTGGTCATCACCTGTTTAAGTACTAACCTGCTTAGCTTCTGAATTCTGATGAGATCAGGCGAGTCTGGGCCATCCTGGTCAGGGCAGCATACCCTTAATGTATACCAGTTCATGAAAGCTTATGCCACACACAAAAATTCCCCTGTCTCTTTCCACCTCCTTCTCTTTCTTTTGTTGTTTCGGGGTATGTCAGATTTTAGATTATAGCTAGTTCAAATGCTACCAGTGATGTTTTTGCTAGATAGATCCAGGTGGATAGCCATATTGGTCTGAAGCAGTAGAATGAAATTTGAGTCCAGTGGCCCCTTTATGACCAACAGAGTTTTATTCAAGGTATAAGCCTTCGTGTGCAAGCACACTTCTTCAGATACAGTGGAAGAGAATTTCCTCAGTCATTACATATAGAGTTTTTTTTAAACTTCTTGCTCATTTTATCCAACTTGGAGGCCAGTTTAAGAGTAAGTCCTATACTGGAGGTGTCAGCTGCATCTGCTTGCCTATGGGTAGTTTTGCATGGATCCCCATGACTGATGCCCGCAGGGTGCTTGTTGTTGTGAAGGCCACTTCCTGTAAATCGGATCTCTGCCCGGTCATGGTTGGTTAAATGATCTCGTGGAAAGGTGAGAGGCCCTTTAGCAAA